AGGTGCGCGCCACCACGTCCAACTCAAGATGATCTTTCATGGTGATCTTTAATCAAAACATTGTAATTAAAGGACATTAAAAACCATAATTTCAGCCTATTAGAATTTGCCAGCTCTAGTTAGTCACTGAATTTGTCCTAGTTTCCTATACCCTAATTTTAGCTACCTACTGGTTTACGTAATGGTGCTGTTAGGGAATGTGATTTTTTTTTTTTTTTAAATTTTATAAGACTAATAGTGGCTTTGTTCCTAAATAACTGAAAAGATACATGAACTAGATAGGAGCCCTGTTGATTTTAGAAAAGTCTTAGGATATGCTAGAGCACCCTGCAGCCTGTGGGAGTTAGGACCATCACAAACCATTTCTGGGAGGTATATTTCATGCTGACAAAAGGCTGGTACGTTCTTTGCCTTCAGCCTCTACTAACACGTTTGCCTTTGTCCTAGAATGAATCTAATAATTCATAAGCTAATTTTGTAGCTATCACAGAACAAGTTTGCCTTTGTCCTAGAATGAATCTAATAATTCATAAGCTAATTTTGTAGCTGTCACAGAACAAGGAAACGGTTTCTCGGTGATTGTAGTTCCTCAGTACAGCGTAGTGAAGAAATTCAAAGTTTTCCTCCTGAGTATATTTTGGAGGTTTAGATAGTTGTGGCGTTTTTCAGAAAAACATGATAGACTTCGCAGTTCACTTCAAAAAGCACTCCATGAAGAATTTTTTTTTATTAGTGCTTTAAGAGTTTTATGATCTGGATTTAGGCCCTTTTATGATCTAAGACTCTGCGTCTTAAATTAAAAACAATTTTTGGAGGACATTTTTAATATCTTAGGAGAAAATAAAAAGATCGTAATCTGTTTTTCTAGGAAATAAGGTGGTTGGACAAATGTGCACTGAATCTTGTAAACCCTGTTAAATTGAGTTGTCTGGACTAGCTGGTGACCTGGTCCCTTTCCTTGCCTGAGTGTGGAGATGATGAAATCTGTGATGGTTGTTGCATGCTAAAATGATTCCCTGCTGTCCTCAACTGGTTTCGCTTATACTTAAATCTCTTCTTTCTTTCTTTCTTTTTTTCT